TTGTATATATGTATGTGTGTGTGTCGAGAATTAAATCAATGAATACATGTATAATATATATATATGTAATTGGGTGTATATATGTGTGTGTGTGTATGTGTGTATGATATAAAAACACATATATCGAATATATATATATATATATATATATATATATATATATATATATATATATATATATATATATATATATATATATATTATATGCCACCCTCAGTAAAACCTTTTGAGCTGGTCTAAGAAAAAGCCTCGTATTGGAATTTCTGCAATTTTTACCAACTTCATTGATATATATATATATATATATATATATATATATATATATATATATATATATATATTGTGTGTGATTCAAAAAATTCTGTTTCTGATCGGTTCGACTTATCAGTTTTTTTTCAAATTCTATTCGTTTGTCTGAAATATATATTTTTTCTTTTCTTTTCTTTTTCTTTTCTTTTTTTCGTTTCTAAGATTTCTTCTCAAGGGTTCTTTGGAGTAGTGTATTGCACGGCATTAGGGGGTAAGTGATTCTGATCGGGATTAAATCGAGGTAAAATAAGGATCAAACATACTCGGGCCAACCTTTGCTCCCTAACGTCAAAACCAACAAGAAACACGTGATTTGTCCGCAAAGCAAAGTTTTAACGATCTTTACATAAAGAAACGCTGAGGTAACAATAAATCTGTATTGGAAGAGTAAAAAAAAGTTCAAATAATAGTGGCCTCGATTCATTTTTTTTTTGTAATAAGTATATATATATATATATATATATATATATATATATATATATATATATATATATATATATATATATATATATATATTCTTAGTTTAAAAACTATATATACTTTAATACGGCTTATCATTATAATACATCGAAGTTTATTCTGTATGAAATATATCTATATCCATAGCGATCTGTGTATATATGTATCTTATCTAACTATATATATATATATATATATATATATATATATATATATACATATATATATATATATATATACACACACACACATATATATAATATATTACAAAGTTTTGGAGTTATCTTCTTCATTTAATTAATTTTCAAACCATCTTTGGTTTAATTTATATTTAACAAGTATGCTAAAGCTGTTGAAACCCTTATTGTTTAACGTCAAAGTTTTTAGAGAGGCGGCTACCTAAAATTTAAGATCTAGCAGTCCTAGAATTATCTTTTTGCTAGCACAGAGTCATCGTGGCCGAGGGTTTAGAAATACTGGGCTTGTTAAAAAAAAAAAAAGACTGATCACGCTAGATTATATTCTCTCGACAAGAAACTAAGGTCGTTTTATCGTAGGTACAGTATACAACACAGTCAAATTTGTGGGTTTCAGCGGGCGTCTGTAATTTGCTATCCACCCCGATAGACGGGTGTCCCCGGAAACGAGTACCCCGAAAGGTACATTAGCCAAAAACATACTGCAGTAATGGGTTAATTTCGCTATTATTATTATTATTATTATTATTATTATTATTATTATTATTATTTCCTTTGATTTCTGATGTGTACTCATTTCTTTCCGAGTCCCGCCCAGAGACCTAGAAATGGCATCATGACTTTTTCCACTGACCAACTAAAAAAACATGTTTCACATAGATAAAGCCCTTCTTAAAGTGTGGGCTGTACTCGTGAGAACAAATTTTTGTGTTTCTTTAAGGCATGGGCTTCCAGGGTGTTGCAGTTTTTGGGGTATTATGTACTAGTGAGTTAGCCCAAATGACTTGACTCATTTTATAGTCCACTAATAGAAGGTTAACCAATCAGAAGACGTAGAATATACAATCCGTCGTGTATAAAGGCGGCCATTTTGTTTACTCTATCCGAATGTCCAGTGCCAGCTTGTCAGGCGAAGAGGAACAGAAGGAAGAACTACGCTCTGCTACTTTACCGGGATATCCACTGCTAACCTGAGCAACGCTTCCCTACTGTCTTCGAAATATTCACTGCTAACCTCTGGATTCTATACTCAAAGACGACCGTCATCATGAACAACACAGGGATCCCTTCAACGAGTCTTCTGGAATCTTTTTCAGCCAATCCGAAGGCTCCAACTACAACAGGGATCGTTGTTCCCATGTGCCACATTTTTGTGATTTCGATTTCAAGGTCCTTGTATTTTGATAGATTTTTGAAGATCTTTAAAAATACATTGCAGTCCGCAGGGACTGCCAATATCAATAAGGAGGCACTTTTTTTTTTTTTTTTGTTTGTGATCATTATTAACAATGTCTCGGCGGTTGGCTTTGATTATTATTATTATTATTATTTCTTGGGTTTCTTTTCTATAGACATTTTATTTCTGGTCCTAAACCCTATGGTCCGAAATGGCTTCATGACATCTTCAACTGATCAATTTTTATATATTTTTTTTTTAAATTAAAAAAAAAGATCACCTACATTTTACATAGATAAAGCTCTTCGCAATGCATGAGTTATAATTGTGAGTACATTTTTTTTGTATTTCTTTAAGG